ATCTTCACACATTCATTCACGACCTCTGACACGCTCCCAATATTGTTTACCATGCTATTTTGAATATTCAGTCAGAAATAGCATGCAAATATGCTTTCAAAACAACATTAACACTATTTAATTGACTATGAACAATGTTGTACTTTGATAGTCATGCTCTACTAATATGAGTTCCCCATTTAGAATTGGCAAATAATACTTTTCTGAAAATATAATATTAAGGAGAAAAACCGAATGTGTGAATATAAAACTAACTTTACCCCAATAAGATTTAGAAGAGGAAATATCACGTTCATGTTCCACCATACTTTTTTTTTTTGCATATTAATATTTACATTTTTTATTGTGTATATAGTAGCCTATTGATAACTGAGTTATGTTTAAGTGTAAAATGTCATGGTTTTTGAATGTAAAAGTTTTGACATTAAACCCCAGACTATACACACGTGTGTAAAATTATTTGAACATTTAAAATGCAAACTTATCAGTCTATCCACCGGCCCAACCTAATTTCCTGGAAGATGTCTAAAAATACCAAAAAAGCCGTTTTGAACTTCCTTCTTCCTTTACAAATTTACAGCACATAGATTTGATTATTTACATAATGCCAGCCTATATGGTTTTCAGTGACTGCTTCTGAACAATGTTTACTTTGACATTAGTCAAACACTGTATTTGTAGCTGACGCCTAGAAGAGTTTGGTTCTCGTTGTCATCATTGTAAGGTTGAGGACTCACGCTTGAATTGACATGGTTAACGAGACCATAATTACTGTTTATATTACTGTTTAGCAGTGGCATGCGGCTCAGTGGTTGGCACTGTCACCTCAAAGACTGAAAAGGTCACTGGTTCAACTCCTGGCTGGGCCAGTTGGCATTTCTGTGTGGAGTTTGCATGTTCTCTCTGTGTTAGCATGGGTTTCCTCCGGGTGCTCCAGTTTCCCCCACAGTCCAAGGACATGTGCTATAGGTAAATTAGGTTAACTAATTGGTCGTAGTGTATGAGTGTGTGAGTGCAAGTGTGTATGGATGTTTCCCTGTACTGGGTTGGGGCTAAGTTGGTGGTTCATTTGGCTATGGCGACCTCTAGAAATAGACTAAATGGAAGGAAAGTGAATGACTGATTCGCATATTACAAGCACAGAATCAGAGCGCATTTGATTTCGGATGTGATGGAAGCGGTTGGCCAATCAGAACAGATTGGGACATCTGACCTATAAGATCAGAGTAAGCTGTTGAAGGGGGAGGGATTTATAAAGATCAGATTCTTGAAACATTTCAGATTAACAGTTGAGGAAAAAGGGCTGATGCTGCCGTGTGCATCATGAAAATGAAAGTGTTTTTTGACTTTTGATGTAAATCAACATTTTATTGCAAGAGACCTCCAAAATTAAATAGAGAAACTTAAAAAAGAAACTCACACGCCTATTTACCAGTAATCCATTTGATATCAATTATATTGGGTGTGGTTTTGGATGGTGATTGGCAAATGTATTGACTAGTCAGTCAGGTATTTAAGAAATTTGTTGTTAGCCATTATTTAGTCATGCACTACAATTATGTGCTTCTGCTGGTAAACTTCTGACATTTCAAGGAAACAGTTTGCCAGTATCAAGTCATGTGTCATAATTTAAACAGTTTGATTTTTGAGCAAAACACTGATTTTTAAGTTAATAAATTGATGGTAACACTATTTTTATGCTCCATTTGAGTATTAGTAGACTGTCTGCTCAATGTCTTTTGATACTTCTCCTTTAACTTACTGACTATAAGAAACTTTGCAAGTACATGTCAACTAACACTAAACCTAACCCCAACCTAACAGTCTACTTATAATCCAATGAGAATAAGTTGTCATGTAGATGCAATGTAACTTAAATTCAACAAATGGACCATCAAAATAAAGTGTGACCAAGTAGATAACTTTCACATTGACTCAAAATAAGGTTATTGTAATTATTTAAAACGTACCCCCCCACATATTTATTTCCATTTTTTGAGTGCATAATCCACTAAAATACTTATACTTAAAAAAAAAAAAAACAGTTTTGTTATCTGAATTATCAGCTGTCGTCATGAATTATTAGCCCGCCTTGTTTTTTTGTTTTTTTTACAGATTTTTTTCCAACACATTTCTAAACATAATAGATTTAATAACTCATTCTTAATATCTGATTTATTTTATCCTTGCATTAATGACAGTACATAATATTGTACTAGATTTTTTTTTAATTACTAGTGTTTAGCTTAGTGACATTTAAAAGCTTAACTAGGTTAATCATAGGGGTGTGAACTTATACTGGTCTCACGGTTCGGTTACGATTATAATGCCATCGATTCGGTTCAATTCGATATCACGGTGCATTGACGATGATTTCTATACATAGATTTTTTTCTTCACAACACAAACATTTTTTTTTAATTAAAATCCATAAATAGTTTAATATTTCTATATTATTTGTAACACAATATTGTCCTTTAATACAAGCAGTAAGATGTATGAACTGTACCTTAAATTTTACCTGCTCAAAGAAAACGAATGTATCAAACAAAACTCCAATACATGCACAAAGACAACATGAGCATTTATAGCAAATAAACAAATTTAAATATTCTCCCGCTTCCTTTTTGAGCGCTGCCCTACACCCCTATGATTCGTTATCGTCTTCACCCGCTCAACAGAAAGGGCTGCGCTTGGCTAAAGAAATGAAGCGCTGTTTACCGATGAGTCACGCGGGAAGAACAGCCGCGGTTACAGTCTATATGTGCATATTACGCGGTTATCACAGGACATCCATAATAGACACATTATAGAATACTCGCACCTCAGGCTCGCTTGGGTCTAGATCCACAAGTTTTCTCTCTCCCTAGTAGTAAAATAGCAGCTTGTGTGCTGTGCCTTCTTCAGTGTCAACAAAAGACTTTTCAGCAAACTTACAAACAGATGAATTGTGCATAATTATCTACCTTTTAAGTAGTAGGAGCGATTTATTTAGTCGCCATCGCCTCCTTCGCCATAGTATTCTACTGTGACATCGCGCATATACGATAAATTACGTCATTTCGTAATAAGGGGTTCTGATCTATTACTGAACCATTATGGAATTGTCCCTATCTGCATCGCGGTGCACCGAAGAAATAATTAATTTTGACACCCCTAGTTAATTAGGTTAAGTTAGGGTTATTAGGTAAGTCATTGTATAACGATGGTTTCTGTCGACAAATGAAAAAAAATGCTTATGGGGGCCAATAATATTAATTAGGGATGTAACGGTATTGTAAATACCGTCATACCGCAATATTAATTTTTTTCGATATTACCGAAGTCGCATGACTCGGTAAAACTATAGGTCTTCTGAGAAAATTTGCTCAGGCGAATGAAGCGAACGGGAGATAGCGAAAACTACAATTGCCATCAGCCCATGCTTGACCATCAGCCCTTGCGGTCTGTTGTCGCTACAGATCCAGTAATGCGGAAATGGAGTGTGCTGCTAGAAGCGGGGATGAAAAGAGCTGGAAAACTCTAAGGCCCCGTTAACACTAATGCGTTTTAGTTTGAAAACGCATAAGTTTTGCTACGGTTACGCCAACCGTCCACACTACGCCGGAGTTCTCGAGCGCCGAAAACGGAGCGTTTCGAAAACGCTGGAGAGGCTGTTTTCATTCTTGAAACGCTGCTGCTCCGTCTCATTGTGGATGATGGAAAACGGAGACATCTAAAACGGAGGCGGGGCTGCAGACGTTTGCCTCTCTGATTGGGGCTTTTCCTGAATATTAAGTAGCCTAACACGCACAGTTAAGTCATGCATTCTCTCCGTGTAAGTTCAGACTTCGCAAGTTTGACAAGGCTGCAGTCTCTTCTTCTCAGTTTGATATGGAAAAGCAGACTATACCGAGGACACGGGTAAATCTTCAAAGGGAACAGTGTACTTTATAACTTCATTCACATCACCCTGGCTTCGTTGTTTCACTTTCTCAACAATAAAATGTAAACATGATTTAAGGAACTGCCTATTTTGATTTTAATATTAGCAACTTAGACAGCAGACATGTCGAGGCGCCGTGCTGCATAAGATGAGCGTCATCTTCACTGTGTGGATATTTATAACAAAACGGAGCCGATAACAACTGCCTCCTTTCAATTTCAGTGAAAATACGAAACACAGCCTCTCTTTTGCTGAGTATCAGTTTTAAGAATCGATAATGGCCATTTTAAAAGTATAACATACAATAAGTTTATACATTATAGGAAATAAAGGCAAGCGATCAGTCAATATACAGAATGTACGTGCTTACATTAATCATTAACTTATCTTTGCGCTCAGCCAAAACACGTTACCTGAGAACAAGTAATAGATTCCAATGCCCAAAGTCAGGGAATATGTCGTTAGATAAAGACAACAAGATAAATGAAATATCCCGTTTAATAAATATAGTGAGATTAGATCCAGCGGGAGATGCTTGATGAGAAGTCCGACTAGCAGAGCTCTCATCTGTGTAGATGGGCTGAGTGTGATTAAATGTTGAATGTCATGAGTTTTCAACAATACTAAATTGAAACTTTATTTTTTTTACATGGTTTAATAATTTTTTGTTATTAAAATTGAAGTTCCTGTTTCAAAGCTTACAGATAGATGGCTAATTTGTATGTCATTGACACTTTTGGCACTTTTTTGGAGTATTTTCATAAGTTTTGTTTTTTCCTGTAAATGATTCAATAAATACCGTACCGTGACATTCATACCGAGGTATTACCGTACCGTGAAATTCTGATACCGTTACATCCCTAATATTAATATATAATAAATAATAAAGTGCTTTTATTCTAACCGAGATTTAACAAATAAGAATTTCTCCAGAAGAGAAATTATAGGAAATACTGTGAAAAATGTCTTGCTCTGTTAATCGTTTGTGAAAATCTTTTAAAACAGAAATAATAATTAGAATAATCTGCTAATAATTTTGACTTCAACTAGCCAATATAAACTAGCAACATCTCACCTGATCTCATTGGCAGCCTCTTTTTCTTTTCTCCGCTTGCAGCAACAGCAAATCAGGAGCAAGATCAGCAAAATTAGGAGGAGCAACAAGAGCAACGAACCAATCACAGCTCCCGCAATCACCCCCGCTTTATTGACCGCTAGAGATAAGAAATAGAGATAAAAGACTATGTATTATGTACAGAAGTAGCTTGCTTTTATCCTCAGAAACAGTCTCTATTGTCCTACAAAATAATCCGAAGAATCAACAGGTTTATGAAAACAATGTTTCCACAGCATCCTATTGAGTGAACATTTTGTTCAAGGACACACACTGCGTAACACTTTTTTTTTCTAAACAGACATGCAACTGCAGTTATTTTTATTATAGTGGATGAAAACTGCTAAACACAAAGGAGAACGACTGCATTTCTTTTGTAGATGATAAACACCAATTTGTACCACTATTTCATGAAGCATACGGCATAAAAGGTGTAGACTTATTCGAATGACCATTCAAGTATTTGAATACTTACTCCACTTAAAGCAGTAGATTCAAAAAAAGTCGAGAAGCGGCATTTGCGTGTTTCAAAAGAAGCTTTTGGATCTGTGCGCTAACTACTTTTAAAGGCAGTTTTAGTGATTAGCACTTACTATTATGTCTTTTGCTCACCAAGGGTGCATCGGATTGATCAGAAATACAGTTTCTGTAATATGAAAAAACTGTAATATGGTGACATTCTTATGGACCCTTTTCACAAGACTGTCATGAAGCGTTTAACTGACATCATAATCGTTAATCCTTGAAAGTGTTTAATGTTTTTATTTATTTATTTATTTGTTTTTAAAGTGTGAACATTTATATGCTATTTTTCACACATTGTATCATCTTTGCTTTAAATTACATGAATCAATAAATGAATTGCTGGTTATTCAAGGTAATTGTAATGCAGCATCTATAGGGCTGAGAGTAAATTTGAAATCATTCTCTCCTCTGGCTGCCGTCATCAGTCTCATACTATTTTTACCTTTTTTCCTGAAGGTCTTGATACCATCGTGGCATTTATTTTTTATTTTTTACATTATTTTCATTATTTCAGCAAATATGAAATGTTAATTAATATATATTGTTGTACTCTCCCATTCACTGCACTCTTTGGCTGCATGTACACTAGATCTTGATGGTCAATTCCGATTTTATGATGGTATCCAATGTTTCTGCTGACCTGCTTACATCATCTTTTAAGTGACTCATATCTAATTGTCTGCATTTACTGATTTGAGTAAATTGGAATCCATGTTTTTTTTCCTGCTAACACGTACATGAGCCATATCCAATCTGAACCATATGGGAGAAAAAAAATCAGAATTGAGTCACTTGTACCATGCAGTCTAAATGCAGCCTAATGCCCAGTTTAAGACCAGACACTGTCAGGTCTTGATGCCCAATTCAGATTTGTTGCCTATATCAGATTTTTTTTGCCTGTCCATTTACACGTTTTAATTGTGACTCATATCCGATTCATGTGTTTACACTTGCCATACAATTTACGACATTGTGCATGCTTTAAAGCGGGTTCTAGCATTTGCACCACACTTGCCACGATGAAAGAAATTGTATTGCTTTTACCTCTGCGAAATATGCAAATTGCACCAAACTTTAAGATAATTTTGAGGGGGAGGAGGAGGGAAAGGGCCGTCATCGCATATTGCGCCTATGGTTTATATATGGTGTCTGCCACCATTGAGGAGTTTGTGGGTACGAGAGAGATCTTCGGTCTCGTGGGAGCAAATTGTGGCAAATTACAACTTTCCTTCATGTTTTCTCTGTTGATGTTGTTTACCGTGTCGGCGTTTCCACATATGCTCTTTCTTCTATGTCATTAAACCGGAAGTTTAAGGATGTACAAAAGGAAATGCCTAAAAAAATCCAAGGTAAATACAAGGAATCCTCAAATGTTTTGTTCTTTTAGTGTAGCCTATTATATCAGTCATTTGTGTCATGTGATCGTTTATTAATCACTAATTGAATTAAGAGATTTCACCTTCAGAATTCACAACATTTTCAACAGTTTTCCCGAACCATCAATTAGTACATTATAATAATTTCTATAGGATCATGAGACATTAAAGATAATTAATATGTATGTAATGATGCTTAAAATGTATTACCTTTTATTTAAAAACAATAAACAATTATTTAATGCAGTTTTTAAATCCATCAAAAAAAAAAAAAACAATTATATGACATCATTGTAATATTTCAGATTATTTCCGATTTACTGTATTATTCTTCTCTTTAATGCAGCATTGTGTAATTACGAGTTTATCTCCATTAATTTCTTTACTGTTCATCTATCTGTTCGATCTGTCAGCCTAATGAGGCTTGATTTTGGCATGTTGTTATCCAAGACATTAGGTGTGCAAACACTTTCCAGATCCACCCATACTTACGGTTATATGCTCGAAGGGCGTATGTGCATCGCTCTCTGCCGACTTCATTGCTGACCTCACAGAAGTAGTTCCCCGTGTAGCTCTCACTGTGGTTTCTGATTAGCAGCTCGCCGGTCTGAGAATCTTCAAACAAAAGAGCCATTCAGAATGTGCAGCCATTGCCAAAGCGCCGGCAGCATCGTTTAGAGCAGATTGCACGGCAGAAAAAAACTTGTTTGGTTGCTATGAGGCTCAGAAATGTTTTTTTTTTTTTTTTCCATTTACAGCAGCTGTACATTATGTGACTTTACCACACATATGCCTGAAGGTACAGGCTATTCAAGCGTATATTCAAGAAGTATTTGCTAGACTGGTGGAGACTCACTCTGTGTTGAGGTTGGTGGCAATTGTCCAGTTTCTTTGGTCCATGTGTATTTTAGAGGTGATGAACCCTGGGAGGATGTGCAGCGGAGTGAAACAGTTCCTCCCTTCTCCTCGCTGCCGTCCACCCAGCATTTAGGACGCGACGGTCGTACTGAAATAACCAAAAAGAAAGAGTCTAAAGTCATGAAATGCATGCTTCTACCTATATTTTTGCAATATACACACACACACACACACACACACCACACACCACACACCACACACAAGTAAAGTGACCACAACATAGGTTTTTGTTGTTTCACAAAAAAATGCTATCTCCGATAAAACTGTTTTGTTAAATAAATAATTTTAATGATAATTAAATCATTCACAGGCACTTTCCAAATGGTTCTTTGTAGTTAAAAGAATTTATTAAGATTTACCATTAATTCTTCACCAAGATTTGTATTGATCATTAAGAGGTTAACAAAAAATGTTCTTTCAAATAAATAAATAAATAAACAAATAAATAGTATTATTTATTTTTATAAAAAAGTCATTAAAAAGGCATTTACAATGTTGCTATTGTTTGTTTTTTCATGCCTAAAGGTATATTTATTGTAAATGGAAATATTTAAGCAGTGGTCTTGCTGTGCATTTTATTTCTTTCAATATTATTTTTGTAATGTTGTTGTTTTGTAAATATGATTTTTTTGTATTAATTTATTATTATTATAATTATTATAATTATAATAATAATAATAATAATAATAATAATTATTATTTATTTTATTATTATTATTATTATTATTATTATTCCAAACCTGTTCTTTCATCTGATAAAAACGAAAGATGGAAACCTGTAACTATTGACCATAGTATTTACCCTCTACTAGAAAAGACATTGGTTACCAGTTTTTTAGTCGTTAGTGTTTATCAGCATAAAGAAATGTATAAAGGTTTTGAACCACTTAAGGATGAGTAAACCGTGAGCATTTTCAGTTTTGGGTGATCTATTTCTTTAACATTCTACTGTAAAATATCTGGAAAAAAAAAAAAAAAACTAAAACTGAAAGGACAAACGCAGAAAATGCTCATCTAAACAAATCCTACACTGTAATTATAGTCTCTTAGCGCTGAGGCTGTAAGTTTCGCAAGGGGGTGGAAATCATCGATCGTGTGGACAGACGGGGTGACAAGCTTGAGCTCAGGTTAACAGAGGAAAACACAAGAAAGGCGTGAACAGAGATCATCCACCCAGACGAACCTACCATTCCAGTCCAGTCATGGTGAACGAATGGATGAAAGGGCTGTGCGAGGGTGGATAAAACCGGTAAAACAGAAACTTTCGGCTCGATAAGAGGGTCACAATCGGTCAACGAATACTGACAATGTTTGTTTTCATCGAGGTTATTATCAGGGGTGGATTTAGTGATTGGGGGGCCATAAGTAATTATAGCTATGGGGTCAAACGGTCCTAATATGCACTGTTTAAATGTTTTTGTTATTTTTTCATTCATCTGTTTGTTCATTTCTTTCTGTTCGCTCAATTTTTTCGTTTGGTTATTTGTTCCTTCATTCATTCATTGTTCCATTTGTTTTTTTTTTTCATTCATTTAATTGCCCATGTCCTCACCAAGGTTATTATCAGGGCCAGATTTTGTGATTTGGGGGCTATAGGTAATTGTAGCCATAAGGTCTAACGGTCCTAAAATGCACCCTTGTTTTTATTTGAATTATTTAGGCTATTGTTATTTTTCAGTCATTAGGTGCATTCGACTTGAACCGTGGCTTCAGCCAGTGATCATTGAGTTTAGCTAAGCGCAAGTGGGGACGGAGTTGAAAACAGAGCCGTAAAGCCAGACAGCCAGAAACTTCAGGGCTCAAAGTTGGAGCAGTCATGATGACTGATCAGATGGCGTCGTCATCATTTTTTACATGTATTTATCAGCCTGATCTCACGAGAAAACGTAAGTATTTTACGTTTTGGCAGTTTAGTGGCTAATTCGTACGAATTCGTACGAGTTCAGTCGTACGAAATGGTACGATTTTAAAAAGGAGGCGTGGCACCTGACCCCACCCCTAACCCCAACCGTCATTGGGGGATAAGCAAATCGTACTAAATTGTACGAATTAGATCGTACGAATTCATATGAATTAGCCACTAAATGAAAAAGCTACGAATTGCCGTGAGATTGTGTTGGTATTTATTTATAACAACAAAAGATTTACAGTACAAATAAAACAGAATACAGTCTCTACAATTTAACTATTTCGAGCGATCTGCGCAGCGCTGCATGAAGTCGAACGCACCTATTCATATGTTTGTTTAATTTTTTAAAAATTAATTAGTTTCTTTGTTCGTTCATTTTTTTCATTTATTCGTTTGTTTATTCATTTGTTTGTTCATTCGTTTGCTTGTTTGTTTGTTCATTGGTTAATTAATTTGTTGAGTTGTTCATTCATTTATTCGTTCATTTGTTCATGAGTGGTTCATTTGTTCTTTCCTTCATTCATCTATCTGTTCATTCGCTTGTTCGTTTGTTCTTTCTTTCGTTCATTCATTCATTGAATGAATGGTTTGACAATTTTTTTTTCATTAATTTGTTCTTTCCCCTGTTGGGTCAGTTGGCATTTCTGTGTGGTGTTTGCATGTTCCCCCTGTGTTGGCATGGGTTTCCTCCGGGTGCTCTGGTTTCCCCCACAAGTCCAAAGACATGTGGTAGAGATAAACTGGCTTAGCTAAATTGTTCGCAGTGTGTGTGAATGAGGGTGTATGGAAGTTTCCCAGTTATGGGTTGCAGCTGGAAGGGCATCCACTGCATAAAACATATGCTGGAGAAGTTAGGGGTTCATTCTCCTGTGGCGATGTCAGATTAATAAGGGACTAAAAAAAATGAAAAGTTTTTTTTTTTTTTCATTTATGGTTTTATTTGTGATTTGTGTGGGCTATAGGTATTTGTAGCCATGAGGCCAGTTCTAATATGTACCCTTTGTATTTTTTAGTAAAATTAAAATTTTTATTATTTTTTTTATTCATTTTCTTTTTGTTTCTTTGCTTGTTTGTTTGTTCATCCATTCACTCATTTGTAAGGTTTGTTTGTTTATTCATTTGTTTAATGATTTGTTTGTCTTTGTCCATTCGTTCATTTTGTTTGTTCATTCATCAGTCTGTTTGTTTATTTTATTAGTTTGTTCACTCATTTGTTCATCCATTTTGCTTGCTTTTTTCTCAGAACCCTTAATGTTTTTAGTTTTTTTCTTAAATAAAAATATCAAATTATGGATATAATAATTAAATTAATTTTATCCGTTAGATCCTCAACATAAATAAGATAAACAGTTATATAAATTATGTAAATTTATAGGTCTTTAAATTTAATTCATAGGTCGCTTAAGTAGTTTTGGATTTTTAGATTAGTTTTTATTTCAATACAAAATTTTTTTTGAATCTGCTGTTCATTTCAGTTTAGTTTTAATGTTTTTGTGAACACTTCTATTTAGTTTTTATATATTTATATACATTTTGCATATTTAATTTCAGTGGCAATTTTGTGATTTTTGTAATGGTGCGAAAGTTCAACGGAACCGCTAGGTATGGCTGGCTGACTGAAAATTAAAAGCCTGTGTGCATATATCCCTATTGGAGAGTTTTAGTCTTAATTTTCTTTTACTAAAGTAAACTTGTTCCTCACCCAGCACAACTAATGTGATTTTCCTCGTGTCGATGCCGGGGGTTTTCTTTACTTTGCACTGGTACGTGGCCGTGTCCGGCGCCTTGAGGTTGGTCATGTTGACTGTGGCGTCGCCGCGACTTGGATCAGCAACAAACTTAAAGCGACTCATCAGGTCGGGGCTTCCCAGCTGGTACTGTTTCCCTCCAGTGTAGGATAAGATCTGTCAGACAGGCAGAGAGAGAGAGTAAGGAAAAAACACTCTTATCAAATAGAACAGGTCTAACCACCCGCCGCCATGTGCGCAGATTTCTCTGAATCTTCACACGTGTCCCTGGAAAGCTCGAGGTGAAAGAGTTTGAATGAGGGGAAATTACTGAAAATGCGATTGATCAGGTGTGGACTGTGATCTTTGGAAACATTCTCTAACGCTCTTGTCTTATCAAAGACAGCAGATGTGTGGTAAAGAAGAGCTGCGCCGCATGATTCTTTGCATCTTTTGATCACCTTTTATTTTAAATGGTAGGCTAATGCTGCGTGACAGACATTCCAGAGAGTCTCTCAGTTTATAAATGAGTGGACATTTAGTAGAAATCTGTTTTGAGGTCAGTTAAGACGGAAACAAAAATCTATTAATGTTTAAACACAACATGCATATAATATTAACTAAAACCATGTATCTATCTGCCATTCGATCTATCATTCTATCTATTGTACTGTCTATTTGCTGTTCCATCTGTCATTCTATTTATCTGCCGTTCAATCTGTTCTGTCTATCGTTTTGTCTGTCATTCTGTCTCGTTCTATGTCGTTCTATCTATTGTTCTATCTGTCGTTCTGCCTAGCTGTCATTCTATCTTTTTCTGTCTGACATTGTCATTCTATTTATCTGTCTGTCGTTCTATCTATCATTCTATCTGTCGTTCTGTCTATCATTCTATCTGTTGTTCTGTCTATCATTTTATCTGTCGTTCTATCTATCTGTCATTCTTTTATCTATCTGCTGTTCAACATGTTGTTCTATCTGTTATACTGTATCTACTGTTCTATTTATCGTTATGTCTATCTATCATTTTCTGTCAGTCTATTTATCTATACCATTCTACTTGTTCTATCTGTCGTTCTCTCCATTTTATCTGTTGTCTATCGTTCTATTTGTCATTCACTCTGTCCATCTATCTCATTCTATCTGTTGTTCTGTCTATCGTTTTCTGTCCTTCTATTTATCTATCTGTCATTTTATTTGTTCTATCTATCGTTCTATCGATCACTCTCTGTTGAACTGTCTATCTATCGTTCTATATGTAATTCTTTCTATCATTGTCATTCTATTTAGCCGTCATTTGATCTGTTGTTCTATCTGTTATACTGCCTATCATTCTATCTGTCGTTCTGTTTATCTATCCTTCTGTTGTTCTATCTGTCATTCTATTTAGCTGTCATTCTTTGTTATACTGTCTACCTCTGTTGTCCATCTATTGTTCATCCATCCATCTATCCATCCATCCATTCATCCATCCATCCATCAATCTTTTATCTCTCGTTCTATCTATCAATTGTTTTTCGTCTATCTGTTCTATCTGTCATTCTGTCTATTCCATCTACAGTATTTGCCATTCCATCTGTCTGTATTTGTCTGTCTGTCATTCTATCTATTGTTCCATCATTCTATCTATTGTTCTGTCTTTGTCATTTTATCTGTCTGTCTGCCTATCTGTTGTTTTATCACTCATTCTATCATATCTATATCATATTTTTATTTATTTATTATAACCATTTAAGCTCAATAAATGTTGTATAAAGGATAAAAATAAATGCATAAACTTGTATAAGTATTTGAAGGTGCTATAAATGATAAAAATACCATTAATAATATTATAAATTATAAGTAAAAATAATGTTTTTATTTCATTGAATTATTGGACTTTTTATACTTTTTCTATTTCTTATAATTAATTTAATTGAAAAAATTAACACATTTATTTTTAGCCATCTAATGTTGACCAATATTTTAATCAACTATGTATTTATTGTTTAACTGATAAAAATAACCTTAATACGAGCTTGTAAAACTGGGATCTCTATTTATCACTCCAAGTAAAAGAAAAATACCAATTTTGATTTGAAAAGTTTTACATTTCAGATGTTGCTTCACTTGCTGAGATATGCACAGATATTTTTGAAATGAGACCAAATTTTTTTGTTGTTTTAGTATCTTGATCATCAAGATAAGAATGTGCTTTTTAATATTCTCACCAACTGATCTTTTTGGGTCATGTCTTGGCTGACGATTGTCCACTCAATGTCCAGGTCTCCTACATCTATGGCAGCGAGGGTGTATGTGCAGCCCAGAGTCAGAACCTCCCCCTGGGCTTTCTTTATGGTCTGAGGGCCTGTTGAAGTCACCTGCACTGCTGAAGTAAGAGCTGCACACAAGAACACAATAATGCATTCCCAATACGGCTGCATGCTATTGGAAAATTGTGACATTGAAATATTTTGTTTTGCTGTGTTATAGATTAGATTAGGAATACCATTTCAACAGATGGCTTGAATAGCTCTATTTGTGAGAAAAAAAAAAAACTATCATTAATTTATATTGGTTGGGTTTAGATGTTATCCTGATTCCAAGAGAGAAATTCTGGGAAATCTCTGTAGACTGATTGCATTTCATGTCGTTTAGCCTTATAATTTTAAAATGTGAGCAAAATCACCAGTTTTGTCATTACTTTAGACATTACGCTAGAGAATCATTCAAATACTTGGTTTTATAAAGGTGTGAATCATGTACAAAAAATAAATACATTTAATTGCAAGAATTATTTAAATAGAGTATTCAAAATACAGATTTAATAATGCAATGCAAAATAACACTGTATAGTTTTCATAGAATTAATAAGTCAGTCAAATTTCTCTTCTTTAAATTCTTGACAAATGTTTTCCGTTGTTGTGCCTGAATGTTTTACACTTTCTTAAAATGCCTTTAAAACATATGCAAGTCATTAAGTTTTATGATTGTTGCAATGACTCCACAAATCTCATATTCTCAATTGTTGATCGACTATAATCCCAATTTAACATTACATATCCTATGATGTAGTTATTGCAGACACGCATATTGCGATATTGATGCTGAACTGATAAATTGTACAGCCCCATTTCACGCCCATTTATTAACATGTCCAACAATGAAATCGGTTCTACTGAATTCAAGTTTCACCTTTTAAAGGGCTCTTATTATGCCCCCTTTTTACAAGATGTAAGACGTCTCTGATGTCCCTAGTGTGTATGTGAAGTTTCAGCTCAAAATACTACACTAATGATGTTTTATAACTCTTTGAAACTGACCCCTTTGTATCTAAAGCATTGATCCCAATTATGCCATTTTGATGACTGTCGCTTTAAATTCAAATGAGATTGTGCTCTTTTTCAAAAGAGGGTGGAGCTACAAACAAGTATACATCAGCATAGTGATAGCAGATTCGAATCAGGACTAGGTTATCTGGAAAAACTGTAAATGTCAAAAAACAAGTCGTTCAGAAGAAGGTTGTCTATGAAAAAACTTGACATTTATAAAGCTTAGACACTATCTTCTATCTTAATACTGTCTTCAGCATTCTATCTTTCTTATTATCTTCAGCAGTAATGATATGAAAGCTCTAATGGCTCACGGCTGCTTCTTACTCAGGGCTGTTTATGCTAATGAGAGAGAGATGGTTAATAATGGGCGGGGCTTTCCCCCTCTGACATTTACAAACAGAATTAGAAACAGTTTATTTACAAGGATATGTCATGAGATTTATAATTCCGATGATTTAGTGCAGTGGTCACCAAACTTGTTCCTGGAGGGCCACTGTCCTGGAGATAGCTCCAACCCTAATCAAACACACCTGAACAAGCTAATCTAGGTCTTACTTGGTAAACTTGAAACATCCAGGCAGGTGTGTTGAGGCAAGTTGGAGCTAAATCCTGCAGGTACACCGTCCCTCCAGGACCGTTATTGGTGACCCCTGATTTAGTGCATCAGTCTGTCATACTGAGCAGACCAAAAAAGTGACAATTGATGTTCCACCACAAGATGGCGACAGAGACTGCAGAAGTTTTTTGAGTGAGAAAAAAACTGTTTTCTCAATGCATGTTTCAGACAACAGCTGATCAGATCATTATAAATCAGGTAAATGACACTAAGTGACAAGTAAATGACAAGTTGATCTCTCTGTGTTTATATCACAGAAACTGCTAGTGTTTGCTTTGCTTTGGGTTTTTCAGGGTTAATTATTGTGATCTCCTAATTGCAACAGAGAAATACTTGGAAATCTCTGTAGACTGAAGGCATTTCATGGTGTTCAGCCTGACTATCTTAATGTCAGCAAAATCACCTGTTTTATCATAACTGTAAACATTATGCTAGAGAATCAATTATTAGCAACAGTTTCTGCTGTTTTGACGTCAGCTGCAGATGTGAATGAATGGCGGAAGTAGTTCCCCTTCCAAAAGAGTTTTTGAGACTGTGTTTTGATTTATTTATTTTTAAATTGATAATTATGCCATCGAACTGTTGTGTAAACTCAATATGGTGTGACACAAATGCACTCGGTCTGCAGCCTTGAGCCAACGCACCACTCATCAGTGTCGATATGTACAGCCACATGACACATATAAATACACACACACTGTATAGTACTGTATAGCGTTAGGGTTAGTTGAGGAGTAAAATTTGTTTGTGTGTGTGTGTGTGCTTGTTTGTGTGTGTGTGTGTATACATATATATATATATATATATATATATATATATATATATATATATATATATATATATATATATATATATATATATATATATATGATGTGTGTGTGTATATGTGTATAATGTGTGTGTGTGTGTGTGTGTATAAATATAAAAAAAATTTAATGCAAAAATTAAATTACTTGCATTAAGTTACTTTATTTGATTTGAACATTTGAGCTATTTTAAACTGCATCTCAATACTAAATTATTAAATCCTCCTTTAAAAAACAATTATTTACCTACTTTTTTCTTTGCATAATGATAAATAAATACATTCTACAACTCTCATAAGAATTCTTGTGAAAGACCAGTCGAATCTGCGTTTTTAATGGCAGTTAAACAGGCTATTTTTGCCACAGTACATTTAATAAATAAGCCCTGTTATGATCAGTTAACCTCTTTATGTGAGAAACATGTATCGAGATCTCCACATTTCTGAATACTTATTAGCCTTTTAATATGCAGCCATGTTTTTTTTCTTTTTTTGTGTAATTCTGAAGAATTCATTTCTACTGCTTCGTTTCAATACATTTTTGCATTTCAGATGTGCACTAAAAGTCAGATTTTTCACGACATGAACTTTGAAGAACCGCTCTAGGTGGGAATTGGCTTTAATGAGTGATGGTTTCTAACTGGCATTTATTTGCACATTCTGTTCCGTCTGTGATGGAAAATCTGCAATTTCCATGCTTCAATCCTACAGTGCTGGATTGTGGAGGATGATCATGTTGATGACACTGTACAGATCCAACTGTGACAGTATCACTTCACCACAGCCATCCAGACACCATCCATCAACTCTTTCAAATGCTGAAAGTGCACTTGAATAAACGCTGCATCTGAATATATGGCTGCTCATAACTCTCGTCGGCATTATTGTAAAACCTTTTCTGCTGAGGCTTGTATGAATGTTAACTGTTAGCAGAAAACTTTAGTTCACTGAATAATTTTTCTCTTCAAAACTCTGCTATCTGCTATTCACTAAAATCATTATTTGTGGTGTTTGGTGTAAGATATTTAAAAATAAATGTTTTTGCTGGGTAATGTCACTTTTTAATCTATAGTTAAAGGCTAAGTTATTAACCCTCCTGTAAATTTATTTATTTATTGATTTATTTAGTTAGTTAGTTAGTTAGTTAGTTAGTTAGTTAGTTAGTTAGTTAGTTCCCAAGGGGTATCTAATGATCCAAGAATATTTTCTTCGTATTTCCTAATTTTTTTTCTTGTGGCGAAAGTATTATTTACTTCCATTTGGCTGTAATAAAAGCAAATTTATTTTTATTTTTAAAATTTATTTATTTTACTAAGTTTAAGGTTATTATTGGCCCCTTAAGATTTTTTTCTCCATTTTATCACCTTGGAATTATACGGTTCTATCTGCATTGTGAATGATTTTTAAATATTGAGCTTAAAAAATATTTGCATTCCATAGCAAACAGTTTGTGTTTAACGTTTGTTTTTTTGTTTTTAAATAAAAACTCTTAATGTTAACAACTTATAGAAAAACATCCTATAATGTAAACAAGTTAAGTTTAAAAAGAATGTCAATAACTCAATTTTAACAAAAATGTCAGATAGAACCTTAAAATTTTAAGGTGATAATTTGGCTACAGAACCAAACCACTGTTGTTCACCCTTGTAAAGATCACACTTTAAGCTGAATACTAGTATTGCAAAATAACTTAAAAATTAAGTAAAATATACTGTAATCATTACAAAAACAAATTAAGTTAGTTATTACAAATGACCTGTTTATGTTTGAAAGAAAACTATTATGTTTAAAATGTGTTCAAGAAAACAGCACTCGGCACAAAATAAACTTACATTTTTACAGGAGGACTAATAATTTTGACAACTATTTAAAAAATAAAAAAAAGAACTTGGCTAAATGCTTTAGTTTTATTTTATTTTATTTTGTTTTATTTGCAATAATCATGGGAAAACTGACGGTGACCGAGAGAGTTTAACATGCTGCAATTTAAGAAAACAAGTGCAATTACACAAAACGGCAGAAAATTAAGAAAAGATCTTCAGTTTGACAACATGTTGTAAGTCCTCATTACACATACACTAATAAAATGCACTTCATTTGCACACAAGGTAAACTAATTAATAAAATGCACTATGCATTTCACAGCGCAAAGAATTCATATAAACGCTTGCATTTTCTCACAACACTGGCAAAAACATCAGAACAGAACAGAGTTTTTTCAAGAGGGACTAAAAATGTATTGAACGTTGCTTTGCTGTGACTATTGCTCAGTGAAGTTGTTAGTGATCTTTGAAAGATCTTTTTTTTTCTTATTTTAACATCCTAATTCCCTTGTCTTTTGTATTTAATTAGCCTAAATAACCATAACCTAAATAACCAGGTTTGTCACGTATTACGGTCCTCTTGAAACATTAATGTTGTGTTCTGTGCTATTTCAAAGTGTTGTGTGAAAATGCAGTGCGTTTTTGAAAATGTGTTTGCGTTGTGAGGATTTGCAGCACGTGTGCTGTCAAATGGATGAAGATCTTTTCTTTATTTGATGGCGTTTTTTGTAATTGCATATGTTTTTTTGTAATTGCAGCATGTGAAGCTCTCAGCCACTGTACTTTTCTAATCCACATTAAAAATGGTTGCGTTCATGTTGCAGTGCTAATTTTATTGTATTCAGTGTTTACTGAAGCTTGTTTTTGAATAAAAGTCGGTTTTGAATACCACACAATTGTCCTGACAAAAATGTTCCAAGCTAACAAACCCCTGCTAACAAAAATGTTCCAAGAACATTTAGCTAACATTCAGTTTTAAAACCTAATTATATTCATGTATTTTATACACTTCATTTTCAAAATATTGTGAAAGATTAGAGAACTAAACATTATTAACATTACAAGAGGAATGTTTGTCTAATAAAGTTTGAAAATCAGCTTCACCTGTTTCTTACAACATTGAAAATCCAAGCCAAGATGAACAAACAGCTTATCGTACTATACAAGAATAACAGAGCTGTACAATTGAATATTTCCAATAATTTTATTTTTAATAAATAATGCATAGAGATGACAGGGTTGAGCAGGTGTTATTTATATTTTAGCTACAGCATTACTGTATTTGCTGAAGAAAATAAATCATATTTAAATACTTTGTAAAAAAAAATTGCAGGGATCCACAATTTATTCGTGTTGTTTCAACAAAAACTGATTAATCCAAGCTAAATTTAAGTGGATTGAAGTATTGTTTTTTTTTATTTTATTTTTTTACTCATTTTAAATAAGTAGCTTGAAAAAGCAGTGAAATAAATTTTTTTTTGAGTGCATCCAAACAGTGTAATACAGAAAGTTGGCCTTGTTTACACTGAAATAACTATATTGCTGTACTAAATTAAGTTGAATCTAATTAATTTTTTAGGTTATTTTAACTTGTATCAAACAAAATAACTTAAAATATCAAGTTAAACTTTGTATAACTTAAAAATAGTTGGAACCTGATCAACTTAAAAAAAAAAAAAAGCAGATATAACTTTAGCTTATTTTAATAGGTGTATTTTAAAAATGTTATATATATATATATATATATATATATATATTATACGTCAATACAAGTAAATATCCTGTTTGTAGATTGGACAACTTACACTTTTAAATTATTTCTTAACTTTGCTTTCTGTTCATGATGGATATTAATTATATTGTTTTTATGTTTTTAGTAGATGCTTATTTTAAGCAAAATATGAAAACCATGAGCAATTCTCAGACACCAATTATTTTCTTCTTGGGGCTCTATCCTCATTCAAACCATTTACGATTTTACGAAATGTAAATTCATTCATTCATTCATTCATTCATTTTCCTTCGGCCAATTCTCTACTTCAGGGATTGCCACAGCGGAATGAACTGCCAACTATTCCAGCATATGCTTTTCACACAGCGATACCCTTCTAGCCACCACCCAGTACTGGGAAACAACCACACACTCTCATTCACGCACACACATACACTCGGCCAACTTATTCATTCAATTCACCTAGCGCATGTCTTTGGACTGTGGAAGAAACCGGAGCCCACACTGGGGGAACATGCAAACTCCACACAGAAATGCTAACTGACCTGGTTGGGACTTGAACCAGTGACCTTCTTGTTGTGCTAACCACTGAGTCATCGTGTTGCCTTATAAAATAATGAATAATAATACAGACTGTGTAGGAAGATTTTAAAAATATTATAGACCAGACCTATTTAAACAAGCCTTCCATTAGCATTACTGGATAAATGTTTGTTCATAGCTTTGACAGCACATTAGGCAAATTAGCGAAAACGTTATTTATTCAAATTCTGACAAAGGCCACAGCTGTCAGGGTCACGCAAAAAAAAAAAAAAAAAAAAAAAAAATATATATATATATATATATATATATATATATATATATATATATATTTCCCCACAGCAGCTGTTTGCTGTCATCACAAACTGACCGACTGAATGAACAGACACAACAATTAGACGATCTCTGCAACATTAAAACAATCTCTTCAGACACTCCCGTCATAATCTTTGCGTCTCAAAATCACAGCTTTAAGAACAAAACGAACAGTCTCTGCTTGGGGCGTAGGCTGCCTTTTTTTCTGCCTTGTTTTGTTGAATACTGCTATGGATTGTCAGGTTTGTCTTGTTTGTTGCTCCTCTGAAACAACACAGCATACCAGACGACTGTGTCATTCCTGTTATATTGCACATTGACACAGATCGCAGGGAGTGTCTGTGATTTACGGATGGCATCTCTCTCAGCTGGAGTAAAAAAACAGTCCAGGCATGAACGTGTTGAGCAACACCGCCGGGCTGATGGTCAGAAAGCATGCATTTGTTTTATGCTCTATAATTTGAGTGCACTTAATATGATGCAAATCGCACTCGCACATAATGAATGACCCTATTGTTTAGCGCACGCTACATCTGCTGCTGCGCTTTTCTGAAATGCACATGCAAGTGCATTGAAGTGAATCTCAGAAGCTGTGATATTCAGAGCTATACTATTTGCATAAAGTGGAGTGGGAGGCCAGCGCAACTTCTTAATATGCAGGGTTAATTTATGCATATCACGGTCACACTTTGACAGTCGTAGAAACTCGATACAGCCCACACAAAGTGAAGAGAAAAATGACCTTTAACACTGGAAAAGCCTCAAAAGAGACTGTTGGATAATGTAAATAAATAGAAGATGTGCTTTTTTACGCACCTGCATGGTTTAGACATACTGCAATGATGTAGGGGAAGTGGATCCAGAGCTTGCTCATAGCCAGATATCAGCTTTTTTTTAAATACAGAAAACCTAGAGGAAAAAAGAGCACAGACTGTCATTGTCCCTCGCTGACTGGACATCTCATTTGCAAGTGTGAATCATCAGAATCTGATAAGGGTCTCGCGTATGACAAATTCAAATGTCATTTTACTCAAAGAAAGAAATAGGAAAGTCTTGGGTTTCGATTCAAAGGTGTAAAAACAAAACATTTTAGATACTTTCAGGCAAAGTTTGGTTTAAATTTAATATCTAAAGGAAAATGTGAATCCTTTCACGTTCAAACTTTATTAACTTCTATTAATTTATTCTTATTATATTAATATAGTTACTTGTATTAAAAATAATTTTATAAACTTTTAGATTTTTATCTTATATTATTGTTATTCATGTGTTGTTGTCGAATATTGTATATATATATATTATAAAAGAGTGGAATTCATTAAATGTAGTAAATTTGATCTGATTTTGCTGACTGGACACCTTATTTGCAAGTGTGAATAATCAGAATCTGATATAAGGGTCTCGCGTATATCAAATGTCACTTTGCTCAAAGAAAGAAATGGGTAAGTCTTAGGTTTCGGTTCAAAGGTGTAAAAACAAAACTTATTATACACTTAGTCAAAGTTTGAACTTAAAATTTATATATAAATGAAAATAGTTTTAAATGCAATATTCCTTTCAAAATCAAACTCTAATAACTTTTATTAATTTATATTATTTATTATATTAAAATAACTTGTATTAAATTACTTTTATAAACTGTTTTAGATTTTTATCTTCTATATTATTGTTGTTTATGTATTATTTATTGCTGTTGATGTCTTTTTATTGTTATACAGTTGAAGTCAGAATTATTAGCCCACCCTGAATTATTAGCCCCCATGTTTATTTGATATTTTTTCAACACATTACTAAACATAATAGATTTAATACCTCCTTTCTAATAACAGATTTATTTTACCTTTGCCATGATGACAGTACATAAAATTTAACTAGATATTTTTCTACATTCTAGTATTCAGCTTAAAGTCACATTTAAAGGCTTAACTAGGTTAATTAAGTTAACTAGGCAGGTTAGGGTAATTAGGGAAGGTGTTGTATAATGATGGTTTGTTTTGTAGACTGTCGGAAAAAAAATTGCTTAAGTGGGCTAATAATTTTGACCTTAAAATGTTTTATAAAAAAATAAAAACTACTATTATTCTAGCCGAAATAAAACAAATAAGACTTTCTCCAGAAGAAAAAAAATATTATCAGACATACTGTGAAATTGGGAATTTTTTTGGGAAATTTAAACATTTGGGAAATATTTAAAAAATAATAAAAAATCAAAGAGGGTTTAATAATTCTGATTTCAACTGTATATATTTTTATTATTATATATTATAGTAGTAATATTTATTAAATGTTGTGAATTTGATCTGATTTTGCCATGAAATAGCCAGAGAAACTTATATGGCAGTAATTTCAAAACTTTCTCTAAATGAAAGTATTTGTTACCTATCAAATGTTCACTATCCAATGGCAAGTCTGTTGACATTGTTGTGATATTTTTGGCTAAGGCATATGAAGTGGTTTCATAATGTAGGTTCAAGTGGTCATATTGGAGGCACTGAGCATAAACAATGCTACTGCGCCAATCAAAATAGCATATTCTGCTGATTAATGCTACTAAAAAAGATCAATATTTGTCATGTTTTGGACTGTACTAATTGGTCAGACCTAAAAAAAAAAACAACAACACTTCTTTAGAGTACTGCAGAATTCCAAAAGTTATCCTCTAGGGCACAGGTGTCAAACTCAGTTCCTGGAGGGCCGCAGCCCTGCACAGTTTAGTTCCAACCCTAATTAAACACACCTGATCAAACTAATTGAGTCCTTCAGGCTTGTTTGAAACCTACAGGTAAGTGTGTTGGAGCAGGGTTGGAACTAAACTGTGCAGGGCTTCGGCCCTCCAGAAATTGAGTTTGACACCCCTGCTCTAGGGCCACACAAAATATTTATTAATTTATTTATTTTTTTAATTAATTAATTTATTATTTAATTTATTTTTACATTTGTATTTTATTTTAATTGCTAAGGGGTGTTTAATGAACCAAGGGAATTTTATTAGTATTTCCTGTAATATTTTTCCTTGAGGAGAACGTATTATTTTCTTTAGTTTGAATGGAATAAAAGCAGTTCATTTTTTTTTCTTATTTAAGAATAATACTAGCCCCTAAAAAATACATATTTTCAATTGGCTACAGAAGAAACCACAGATGTCTGGATATATGGAAAATTGCCCTATAGGATAACACTTTAAGCTGAATACTAGTATCTTGCAAAAATAACTAGTAAAATATTCTGTACTGTCTTTATAGCAAAGATAAAATTAATTTGTTTTCAGAATTTAGTTATAAAAATTATGTTTAAAATTTGTTGAAAATAGCAGCATTGTCAAAATAAAATTTTACAGGACGGGCTAATCATTTTGACTTAAGCTGTATTTAGTTGTACTATAGTTTTACCGCACAATTGTAATCATTAATTTACAGTGCACTTGTAAAATGTACAGTATTACAGGCAACCAATATTGCCAGTAATACTGTATATTTTACAGCATTTTATTATTATTATTATTTTTACAGTTTTTCATTCAAGTAATTTTTGATTGATATGATTTTAGATAATTTATGTACACTATTAGAGCTGTGAACCTGCTCTCACTGTTCGGTTATGATTATCATGTCATCGATTCGGTTTAATTTAATATCTCGGTGCATCACGGTGCATTGATGGTGCTTTCCATTGGGTTTTATATTTTCTTCACAGCAGAATTCTTGTATTAAAATGTATGAATATATTTATTTTTATACACTATTTGTAATGCAATTTTGTCATTTAATACAGTCAGATATATAAAACTGTACCTTTAAACAACAAGAGCATTTATAGTAATTATTATAAACAAATATAAATATCCCGCTCACTTTCTGATCCTTGTTAACCAAGTTCTCTTACACCCCTTTGATTGTTTACACCCTCAACAAAAACAGCTGCGATTGGTTGTGCGCTGAGCTCTTCACAGATGAGTGATACTGATAGGCAGCAGCGGCAATCACAGATGATCCATGATAGACACTGGAGAAAACTCTGCAGACGTGTTTGTATCCAAAAGTATCGCTGTAAAACAGCCGAGAGGGGAGTAAAAGTCACGCCAGCAGGCCATATGGGCCCACAGTGAAGAAGAGCGAGAGAGAAAGAAATGGAGTACTCTGTCTCAATTGCAGTGAAATAGGGGCTTCTGCTATAAGTGTCAGTGAAAAACTGATCCAGCAAACACGCACGCAGTGAAATTGTGCACAGTTTCTGCGTTTTTAACTAGTTGGAGTGTTGTAAATACTTGCCTCGCTCGCCTATAAGCTATGGTGACATAGTGCATATGAGATAAATGACGTCAGTACATAATAAACGGTTATGATTATTACTGAACCGATACTGAATTACCCGCATCTGCATCGGGGTACATCGAAGAAACAATTAATTTTGACACCCCTATACACTACTGTGTTTAAAGTAATATTTTTCTGTCTTTTGGTGGATGTATTACAGTATACGAGAGACCTGCTGTAGCTTTGTTTACCAAGCAAGCACTTCTAATTGGATTTTGACTGTAAATCTCAAATTAATGTCTTTTGTATTTTATGAGAGGTTTTCAGCTCCTGCACTCTCAGAAACGTTTTTTTTTACAAAACACAGAAATGAAAAAAGAAGTCAGCAGATTCTGTATGGCACGTCACGCTTTTGCAAAGTATGATGGTGTCCTGGATTATCATCTGTGCTGATTCTGGAACATAATTTTTGTTTGTTTGAAAATCTAATCCAGACTTATTCCCTACTCGAAACCCAACTATAACTTTTAAATTATTCTTTAAGTCAGAGGGGAATAGTTGGATAACAATCATATAGAAGTGCATAAACCCAACCGTAAGCCTAAGCTTAACATAAACTGTAAACGTATCCCTTAATTCTGATTGGCTGATTGGAATGTTGTTCCAGGATCAACATGAATGTTAGTTAAGCAACATGTCCTTCTTGGTGAAATCAGTTTGGCGTTCTCTCTGGTCCTGCTTGATTTGTTAGATCCAGGACAAGAATCTTGACTCCTTGTTTTTATTATTTCCTCTTGAGCACAAAGGCTAATATCATAATTAATACTGCACATATCAATTACCAAATTCAGTTTGTCAAAATATCACACCCTTTCCTGCTTAGAAAGTCCTCTGTCGGATTTAGCAGCTTTCACACATTTTTCTCCCCTCCATAATTTAGACTGCATACGTAAACAGCCTGAACATATTCAGTAAAACATTAACCATGAAATCAATATGGATGTTTAAATCTGGGTATCGCCAGTATGGCCACACAGGGTAGCTGATTAAATCTGGACATAGGTTTAAACCCTCTATATATCATGCCTGAAACGTGAAGGGGGGTTGTGAAAGAGAAAGAAAACCTCATAAAGCAGGAGTGGATTTACTTGTTTGAATTTCAAAGCACTGAAACGGATCCTTATCAGAGTTTCTATAAATCATTTAAGGGGCAAATCGTGCGCCACTAAAACTCACTGTGATTAAAACTTTGAGGAGTCCTGTGACAACTGAATACAGCTGACACACGTACACACACTTTCACAATCAAATCAGACAGCTTTTGATTCAATAAGCCTCCTCTGAGCACTTGCTTATACTGACGGCCTGTAATAATCATTTCAGTCTCATAAGAAATTAAATAAGCCAGAAAAAAACTAATTAATGAAGGTCAAAACGGGCAAGGATTTCATTTCTATTAGCTCTTTGAAAGAGCAAAGTCCAAACTGCAGTACATTTCTTGCTATCGCAACAAGCTCCAATTCTTTTGTTGATTTAAAGCTTATGTAAACGAAAAAAAAAAAACATTTCTGTGAGAGAAAAAAATTAATTACCTTTTTTTTTTTTTTTTAAACAAGCAACCGAGTTCAGTAATCCTTAAGACAGGTGCTTTCTTTGTGGTTTCCTCAACTCTCACTCTCACCTA